CAACGCAGCGGATGACTTAGAAACGATAGCGGTATCGAAACGTTCGATAAGCCTGTTGCCACAGAAAGAGGTAGTCAGGACTGATCTTCAGCCGTTTCAGCAAGAAACACAACCGTTGGCGAAGATTTGGTGCGTTAAGATGGAAGAAGACACACATCAGCCCAACGAGCTGAATAGTCAGATGAGAGTCATGAAGACGTACTTGAAGGCGAGATACAGACTCTCGGACCTTCTAAGGGCGCAGAGAAATGATCGCATGACAAGCAACCTAAAAAGGTGGATAGAAAACGGCACACCTGACAAAGGTGACCTGGAAGAAGACAGCTATAGGATCCTGAGACAATACTTCATGCAGAAGGAGGGGAGATTATATCTGAACAAGGACGGGATCGTGGCTTGCAGGAGAAGAGAAGAAGACAAGGTCTTATACAAATATAACGCGATAGTGTTGCCGCAACTCTATCAGACAGAACTATTATTCAGGTCGCATGATCAGATGGGCCATCAAGGGATCGACAAAGTGTATCAGAGGATCCTGAAGCGCTTTGAGTGGCCTGGGATGAAAAAGGCATGCGAGAAATGGGTGACAGCATGTCTGTCATGCCAACAGGTCAAGGATCCTAGGAAGTTGCGATTTCCTTTACAATCAATTGAGTCGTCTGAATTCAACGAGGTGGTGCAGATAGATCACCAGAAGATATGCATGACAGACAGCGGTTACAACCAAGTCTTGGTCATGATAGATCACTTCACGAAGTATGCAGAGGCCGTGCCCTGCATAACTGCCTCGGCGGAAGAGACATGCGACCACCTGATCAATACGTGGATAGCAAGACATGGTTGTCCAATGACGTTTCAATCGGACAATGGAACGGCTTTCGTAGGCGAGCTTACGAAAGAGCTTATGAGACGGTCACAAGTCGCTCAGGCTCACTCCACGACATACCACCCTCAGACGAATGGCTTAGTGGAAAGACAGAATAGGACGTTAGTGTCGATGCTGAGGGTATATTGTTCCAGGTACATGACCGATTGGGACAGATACCTTCCACAGGTGATGGGAGCTTATAATAGCACGCAACACTCCACCACTGGAGTTAGTCCACACATGATGCTGACGGTACACGAGAAGTCTTTACCCTTGACATTCTTCTACCCAGAATATGAGGGAAAGAAAACGTCCCCACAGGTCTACGTGAGGGATGTGATCAAACGCCAACAGGAGTTGAACGATTTGTGTAGACGAAACAATCAGCAGGCACAGGCAAGGCAGAGGAAAAGATTCGACAAGAAAGCAGCTGTTGCAAAGGCTCACTCGGTGGGAGACTACGTATGGGTATTTCAGAACGTTATACCACCGAAAGGGACAAAGAAGCTTCTAAAGAAATGGAGGGGACCCTTCATGATTACAGAGGTGCACCAAGAGGGACGCTTTTATAGACTGAGTACTGGCCGAGCCGCGCACTACGAAAACATCAAGCCACACAATCCATCGACAGAAGACTGGTGTATACCTGCAGACATGGAAGAAGGGGATTATCTAATGATGGATCCTGCTTGTGAGGTCAATGAAAAAGGCACCAGGGAGAAGAACGATGGAAACGAGGTCGTAGAGGAAGGTACGGATACACCATTGGACCTGGATCCAAACGAACAGATCGAAGCGGAAGATGAAACCTTACCCTACGCAGAAGAGGATTGGCGGGATCCCGAACAGACAGAGGTTCCCAAGAACTTGGAACCAGATCTTCCGTTCACGATTCAGACTCGTCAGAAGGACGGGACGAGACAAAGAAAGAAATACAATCCTTACGGTGACGACTTTGTAGTGGATAAGATAGATCTAAAGAAAATAGTGGAGGAAGTAGTGGGTTTAGAGGAAATAACCGTGTCACAAGACATTGACATAGTCGATGATCACAACGATGAGTGGGTTGACGACTGGTCGAAACCCGAAGTAGAATTCGACGATGAGCAACAGCAGTCAAATGAACAAGAGCTGACGAACCTGCGCGTCTTAGAGTGGCTGAACGAAATGACATCAGACCCTAAAGAGACCAACGTTACGATTCAAGACGTAGATCGCGAAAGCGCGAAATACATTAAGACCGAACGAGATGATCCTTCCTGGGCTGCCCAGGAAGGACAACTTCTCATTCCAGCTTCTAACCTTGACTTAATACCCGGTATGCGATCGACGGGGACGCCGATGGATATTTTTGTCCGGGGAGTGGGGGTAGGACTTACCCACACTGAAAACTTGATAATAAAAAAAATTAAGAATAGCAAGAGAAACAGGAGACTTAGAAGCAGAAACAGGTGAAGAACCTAAGAAACCTGACATAGGCAGGGTAGTTGAGTCATATTTTAATTTACCAAATGAATATTCTAGTAACATAATACTAACAGACAGTGATTTCATACTCACAAACAGAACATGTGCAGTAGCAATCACCGCAGACATGAGTTTTAGGACGGCGCTAGCGGCAGATTTTAGGAGGGAATATAAAAACGTGGAATTCCTTTGGAAGCAAAGACCAGGGATAGGGGGCGTAGCAGCCTTACCTCCGGCGGTGTCGCAGATACCGGGAAAGTACTTGTGCTTCTTGGTAACGAGGGCGACGGAGAAGCAGCACGTGGACCCAGAAAACCTAGTCTTGTCTTTGACGAGGCTGAGGGACTTCCTTGTGGAAATGGACGTGAAGGAGCTCTCGCTTCCAGTGTACGATCCAAATAGAGGAAGACTGCATCCTCGGGAATTGTACGCGCTTGTACACGTGATATTCTCTGATACGAACATACAAGTGTATCTACATAAGAAATATTATTTAAGTATAGGCTGAGTGATGTGCGAAAGAGTGTTAGGCCAAAGACCAAGTTGCATGTAATTTGTGATATGTGTGTTATGTTATGTTATGTTATGTTATGTGTTAGGTTATTAAGATCATGGGTAAGTAAGCGTTAGTGACCATGAACAACTAAATGACGATCTTGGGAATAGATCCAAAGTTTGGACTGTCCAATCATAGGTCGAATTCCAAAACTTTAGAAACCAATTGATTTTAATAAATTTTAGGATAAATATCTTTTTATCTGAACTGTTTTAAGCAGATTTTAACGATATATGTTAAGGTGAAACTGACAGGTGTGACAGTCGTGATTCCTTTTCTAGATCCTGATTGATCATTTAATTGCTCATTTGAGTCAAAACTTGAAATCGAAATCAAATCAAACTTGGAAAGAATAGAATGGACAACTTCAACCTGGATGAATTGATGGACCTGGCAGAGGCATGTGTAGGACCGATGGTAGATGCGATCTATAGTCGGCTGATCGAACGAGACTTCGCTCTGGAGGACCCAGAGGTGGTCATGTTGCTGACCGCCCTGATCAACATCTTGGGGCACGACAACCGTGGGGACCGCCCCACGGAAGTCCTGTTGATGGCAGCATATGGAGAAAGAGGAGTACTAGACCGCCCGAACATGAGAGTGATGAGGTGGAGAAACGGGGCTCTCTCAGGGAGTGACTTGGCGAATGAGACTGGATTGGGAAGTTCTAGGACTTACCAACCAGGTGAGATGCCAATGCCCTCTAAGCCTAAACCTGGGCTGACGAGAATGCATCGGGAGATGAACAGCGAGGCGACCTCGTCTGGTTCACCACTGAGAGCAGCTGTGCCACCAAAAAGGGCGAAAGTAACACAGAAGGTTCAGACGAACCAAACCATACAAGATCTGGACGAGATGAACGATCTGCTGAGAAGTACGAAGAAGGAGTTAGACGATATGACGAAGACCATGCTGGCGATGGAGGAAGACCGGGACATGTGGAGAAAGTTGTTTGAAGACTGCAACAAAAAGCAGGGTCAAGAGATCGAACGCTTAAGGCAGGAATACAAAGAGCGATCGGAGCAGGTGGCGTTGACAACGGCCGTGGAGAAAGTAATACCTGCAAGGGATATTCCTCGTGGGCAGTCCCCGATGGAGCTCTTGACGCCTCGAGAAATGAGTCAAACAACGGAGACACGACCTCCAGTAGAGACAAATCGAGTAACGATCCCGGATCCTAGCGACACCTTGGGTGACCCCGTCGTAGAACAGACAGTGAGAAAACTGATAGAGACAGCTGGACGATTGGTCGCTAACAAGAATGCACCAGGTTCCGGGGTGACTGCACCCTATGGAACGATTGACGATACGGGCAGAGTACAACTCTCCCAGACAGTAATCAGACAAGGGATGAGTAACGTGACACCACTCATGGGGAACTCGAGAATCCCAGAGAGGAAAGTAAGGAAGATGCCAGCGAAGAAAGTGTCTCGTGTAATAGACGTGCAGAAGAATAATCAATTGAAGTATAATTTCACGGGAGTTCCGGAAACAGATCCGAGGGCCTGCTTCAATCGAGCTACCTGGAGCCCGGCTGTGAACCTGCAGCAACCACCACTCGGGACATCTCACCTGATATTGGGAGACAGCTTAGTCAGAGTGCTGTCGAATTTGAGGACCTCATGGGTCACCACGGTGATGGCCTTTGGAGGCGCGACGATTGCCCAATTATATCGCATGGTGGAGCTGATGAATCCAGGGAAGATACCCAATGTGATGATCTTAGTTGGGACGAATGATATCGTCTAATTGTTCACTCTCTGCCAGTATTGTGACCGTTAAAGTAAGCGTGCTAGAATGGCCTTGAGTACATAATAACAATACATAACAAATAAAATAATAAAATTTTCCAAGGTTACTGTGGCAGCAGTACTACACAGTACCACAAAGGCGATCTAAAATAACGTTTGCTGCTATTTACGAAGAGCAAACATATTTAAAAATTTTCTAAAAAGTATCTTTGTTCTCTTATTAACAACTTCTAGAGAACTCTGAGTAAAATTTCTCAACAACCCTATACTGCAACCTAATTTTGGAAACTGGGCTGTACACGGGATTGGACATGAAAAAGAGCAACAGAATGTCCTTAAAGGGGGAAACTGGACTTACACATTGTGTCTAGATTCCTAGTGGCTCTCCAGCCAAGGTCTCGAAGAGCCTTGGAGCAGTCTGACACCATGTGAGCGGTGTCTCCCTCCCTCCTCGGCTCTATCTTGCACGGGATCTCCACTCCAGACACATTCTTGAATGCCTCAACCATCTCCAAAACTGAGTAGCTAGTACCATAACTGAAAAAAGGTATCAAAATGAACGAGTTAGCACAGCAACGATAAGAGGCGTGGTACCACAACTGCGGCCGAAATCGTGCAGACTGAATTAGACCTGAAGCTAGAGGTCAGGTGAGAGCTCGTCCTCGCACCCAACCGTTGCTATGGCTGGAGATTGAAAATACGATGTGACGCTCTCAATGTGAACGCCTTACCAATATGCCAAATCTCTCACCTGAAATTGTATGCAGTGAACCCACTGAATTTTCCCTCGATCAGTCGGAGGGTTAGCTTGGTGTGTGCGGCTGCCACATCCGACACGTGAGTGTAATCTCGCACTGCAGTCCCGTCAGCCGTGTCGTAGTCATTTCCGTACACGCTCAGAAACTACAAAAAAATGCGGATACAAAAAAAAAGATTTCATGGATGACAAAACTTCTACTTGAAAGATTGTAGCAAAACTATCATTCAAAATTACAATTGAAATCTCAAAATTTGAACAAGATTGATTCCAGCAGGTAGAAAAGGGTTTTTCAACAAGAAATATTTTCGCAAAAATCTAGTTTCGAGGAGCCGCATCATGCTAATTCTAAGCAAATATAGCAATTCGGTAAGTCAATTGTTGCCCCTTGATCATTTGCAAGACTTAATACAACGTAATTAACCTGGGTCAATTGCGCAAATCTTTTTTACTCCCCAATATCAAACATTAAGTGCCAAATTTTCATTCGTATACGGGATTGTTGTCACCAATTTTGCATCAGTTAGGAAGGGTTATGAATGCGGAATAACTTGCCAGGATACAAAAATCGCGTGTTGAAACTATCGTTGGTTAAACAAGAAGTTTATAAACGCAAATAGACTGACAGGCAAACAAACCGCCAGGGAAATACAAAAATCCAGGATCGACCAGCACGCAGTCAATTTTTAAAATTTTAATTAGGCTGAACAAAAAACTCACTCCTACGTTCCAGATAAAAAACGCAAACATAGTCCCTAAATTCCTCGAAAATCGGAACATTTACTTTGTTTCTAAACGCATGAAATATTTTTGAGTCATGGTAATTGGTGTGCTCCGACTTTCATACTCTTCTTGTTAGATTATTTTACATTACTGTAGAAACACTTAACTATTTTTTTTCTCAATTTTGCATTTATTTTGAAAAGCAGCTTGAATCTCATTCAAAAAATTTTAGAATGATTTTTTACATTATTTGAAAAACAATTCGGTTGTCGAAACGTTAAGCAATTTTCGCAGCAGCCCTTATATACGTTATAACAAAATTGATTGTTTTGAGCCAAGACAATAAAAACGGCACTTTTGGAAGTGGCAAAAATTAAGCTGGACATACATATTCGTTTCAAAAGGCAGCGACTATAGTTAGTTGGTTGCTGTGCTCCGACCACAATTATGACTCCAAATGAAGCTCCACAAAAATTTGAAGTTTCGATTGAAGTTCCTGGCAATTTGTTTTACACAAGCATAGCTTGTTTTATAGTATGAAATTTCTTTTTTTTCCAAGCTAAGTCGCAAATATTGTTGCAATGCAATTGCTGCGACAAAATGTTCATTTTGAAATGGTTCGTTTTGGCCCAGCTATTCAGTACAGCCAATGCTAAGGATAATAACACAGACTGTTTTATTACAAATATCACTTTCGCCTCAAGTTATCATGAATCTGTAGCGTAGAGACAGGGAAGGAGACCAGCGACAAAATGAGAGGGTTCGGACCTGGACAGGGTCGGATGTTTTTAACGAATTTGTTAGTATACCAGTTAAAATGCGTCCGCTCTTTAAATTGAGGGATGTTAGTTGTGAGATTTCTTTTTTCTAAAAAAATTGACTGGTCCTGCTAATGCGTCATAATTGGCAATGTAGACTCATAATTGGCGTGCTTCACCTAAGAAATTTGTAGACTCAGCCAGTTTTTGCCAGAAGCGTTATGCGTCATATTTGTGATTGTGTATGCAAAATGCAACTTCCCATCTGTGTAGAAATTTCATCTAATTTTTTCGCGCGTTAATTGTTATTCAAAATTGGTCTAAGCAATAGCAAAACTAAAAATCGGTTTTATTATTGCTCCAGTGATCTCTATACTACCAAGTTAGTCTGAAATGCCAAAAATCTCTAATCTAAATGTTCTTGACGCTGAGAATTTTTTTTGAAATATACGTTTGGTACGAGGAATTAAGAATGGTAGATTAATCATTTGATACCAAGGCAGATTGCCTTTGCTTTTTTTGACATGAAGGGAACTGATAACTAGACAAGACTGCTCGTATCAGGGCGAAGCCCTGAATGTCCAGACTGCCTTTTAAAGTCTATGGAGCAGTAGTAAACTGAAGAAAAAGTAATGAAATGAAGAGAAAAAAAATATATTAATTTAAGTTTGAAAATTTTTTAGGAAATTCATCCCCCCACGCCATATAAAAATCAAAATGATAGAATTGGCTCCTAGTAAAAACTCAATTATGGTAACTAAGTTTACTTCAGCCAATTTGGAGCGAACTTTAGGCAGGATTAAAACTTCGCTTACGCGTTTATAGCACAAAATATATCGCGCATTAATTGTGCTAAAATGGCTTAAACGGCAGTCTTTAAATCCCCGTAATTTTATGAAAAAATTATCACAGGTGAAATATCTTTTCAAATTTAAGCGCATGATAACAATATCTTTTGAATGACATGAACAAACGCATCAAAATTGAATAGTCAAAAAGTCGAAAAATGTCTGAAGTAAAAAATCACCCCAAGCACAAATATTCCGTTACTTTCGTTACGAAAGTCAGAAAAGTTAGGCCTCAGGTAATTGCACTTTTTGAATTTAGTCGGAAAAAAAAGAGTAGCCGAAAGTTATTCGAGTAGCTTTCATTACTCGTAGCTCACTTTTCATGTTGAGCATATTTTTAATGGGAGTGTTCGTTAACATAATCAAAAAACAAATATCATAACTTACGATTCAAAAAATTTGTCAAAAATTCTTATGGCTGTAAGTTAGCTGGAAACAACAAAAGCTCGGCAAACTTTACTACACATGCATCCAGTAGAGTTGCAAACGTGTATTAAAGTTTTTTCATACGTTTTTTTTTTTTAAGTTTCAGTTTTTTAAGAATATTGAATACCTGTTTTTTTGTTCCGACTTTTGACACAAAAATAACGGAATATTTGTGCTCGGAGTCGGTTCTTTTTTCTTCAGACAAATTTCGACTTTTTAACTGGCTATTTCTGAGGGAAACTTTTAAATCATTCAAAAAGTATTGCTG